TGGGGGCGTGCCACGTTGAGTGCTGCACTCGTCCGAGCAAGCAACTGCATCTCCCCCAAGCGAGCTTCACACGGTAGACTGGGGAAATTACCACCATCCAAGAGCGCCCCAATGCCCACGAGCACGCATGCAAAACGGCAGGGGCGATGCAGCATGGGACGGCGGAGTGCGCGAAACGGCCTGCCGGCCCGTCGGGTCTGGCGTTCGAGATCTCCGCAGTATGGCCCGCAAGACATGTTGCTCCACGATCCTCTGACCTACAGTGCCGTTTTTAATACATGCTCCGCGTGCGGACCCCATGTATTAAAAATAAAGGGTTGATTCATCCATACAAGCATGAGTTCGTGCATACATGTATTCATACATTAGTCATGTATGAAGCATCCCATATTTTCAGAAATCCCATGGATTAGAACCTGCCCTGTCCGCACTCCTCGCATCCACCCCTTCCGCCTTGGGCCCTCACAGCCCCCTCCCTGGGCCCTCTCCTCGGCCTGCCCGCCTGCCCCACCTCCCACCAGCCCGCAGGCCCTGGCTGCGGCCCGGGCGTGCCCTGCCCGCCGCCCTTCCCCCCTGCAAGCGACCGCGCCCACCTGTGGGAGCCTCCCGGACGCCGCTTGGGGACGCCTCTGGAGGCCGTCTCCCAGGCTGTCTTGGGGGCCCCACTTTTTGGACGCCCGACATGGGTACCGAAAAAATGGGTACGATGCCCACCAACAAATGTTGCCCCAAAACAAGAGGCCTCCTAATATTGCCCCACGTCGGCCCAAGATGACCCGAATAGCGCCCAATGGGCTCCCCTCCCAAGGAAGGCCCCAACGCGGCCTGCAAACGCTCCAAGATTTGGACGCCCAAAATGGGTACCGAAAAAATAGGTACGATGCCCACCAACAAATGCTGCCCCAAAGCAGCAGCTGCCGCTGTTGGGCAAGCAGCCTTCTGTCTCGAATGGGCACAGGCCGCGGCGGCGCGGACAGCGAGTCCTGTTCAACGTGGACAGGAACTGCTGTTGGGCATTGTACCCATTCTTTCCGTGCCCATCTCGGGCGTCCAGAGCCGCTTGGGGACGCCTCTGGAGGCCGTCTCCCGGGCTGTCTGGGGTTGCTGCCCTCGGGTCCGGATTTGGCCCGCTGCTGGGCCCATCCGGGCCGTCTCGGAACCTTCCGAGGCCCTCTTCGAGGCATGCTGAGCCGAAAACCCGAAGAAGCTACAAGCCTTCGTACACCCGATCGTTGGCGGCGAGCGAGGGGGGGAAGTGAGAAGGAGAAGGCCTTCTCAAAGGCGGCGGGACTTCTCAGAAGCCCTCGCGCATTCTGAGAAGTTTTTGTCTCCGGGGAAGGCTTAGAAAACTTCTCAGAAGGCCTGGGGACTTCCGAACCTTCTGAGAAAGCTTTCTCCTTCTCACTTCCCCCCCTCGCTCATCGCCGAGAGAAGTTCGACGATGTTGACAGTCTCGGGCTTCTGTTTGCGCCTCGTGAAATACTCTTGAAGCCTCGTGTGACACTCTTGGAGCCTCTCTGGCAACCTTGGGATATCGTAAAAGCCTATTGAAGCGCCCTGAAGGTTTCTGAGAGTAATCTTGGACACTCTGGCCGCCCACTTGGTGCCCTCTTGAGCCATCTTGGACGCCCCCAAGGGGGCCCTGGAGGCCCTGGCGGAATGGGCCGAACTGAAATGTTATTCCTTTCGGTTTGAAGAGACGGTCCCCGCGTTCCTCCCGCCTCCTTCCTCCCTCCTCCCTGCGCTTCACACACCCAGCACAGCGTTTCGTGGTCACACAGGGAGCTCCACCGAAGGTCCCAGTGGGACCGCCCGCATGCGTCAACCACCACCCAGCACAGCCCTTCCTCCCTGCGTTTCGCTCACCCCGCACAGCGCTGCGTGGCCCCATAGGGAGCTCCACCGAAGGTCCCAGCGGGACCGCCTCCATGCGTCAACCACCACCCAGCACAGCCCTTCCTCAATGCGTTTCACCCTCCCAGTACAGCGCTTCGTGGCCCAGTGGGGCCGCCCACATTCGTCAACCACCACCCAGCACAGCCCTTACTCCCTGCGTTTCGCCCACCCAATGCAACCTTCCGTGAACCCACAGGGAGCTCCACCGAAGGTCCCAATGGACCGCCTGCATGCGTCAACCACAACCCAGAACAGCCCTTCCTCCCTACGTTTCGCCCGCCCAATACATCGTTTCGTGCCCCCATAGGTAGCTCCACCAAAGGTCCCAGTGGGACCGCCCGCATGCGTCGACCACCACCCAGCACAGCCTCTTCTCTCTGCGTTTCACCAACAAAGTACAACGTTTCGTGGCCCCATAGGGGGCTCCACCGAGGGTCTCAGTGGGACCGCCCGCATGCGTCAACCACCACCCAGCACAGCGCTTCGTGGCCCCATGGGGGGCTCCACAAAAGGCCCCAGTGGGACCGCCCGCATGCGTCAGCCACCACCCAGTACAGCGTTTCGTGGCCCCATAGGGAACTCCACCAAAGGTCCCAGTGGGACCGCCCGCATGCGTCAGCCACCACCCAGTACAGCGCTTCGTAGTGCAGCGTTTCGTGGCCCCGTAGGGAGCTCCACAGAAAGACCCCAGTGGCACCGCCCGCATTCGTCGGCCACTACCCAGTACTGCATCTCGCTCCACCAAACCCCAAATGCACCGCCCGCATGCATGCCCCCAACTCGGTACAGCGTTTCGTGGGCCCACAGGGAGCTCCACCGAAGGCCCCAATGACACCGCCCGCATGCGTCGCCCCCTCCCGTGGCCCCATAGGGAGCTCCACCGAAGGTCCCAAGGGCACCGCCCGCATGCGTCGGCCACCACCAATACAGCGCTTCGTGGCCCAGTAGGAAACTCCACAGAAAAACCCCAGCGGCACCGCCCGCATGCGTTTCCCCAACCGGTGCAGCGCGTTGTGGCCTCATCGGGAGCTCCAGCGAGGGGCACCGCCCGCATGCGTCAGCCACACCCAGTACAGCGTTTCGTGGCCCGCCCATAGGGAGCCCCACCGAAGGCCCCAATGGCACCGCCCGCATGCGCCTCCCCGACCCATTACGGCATGTCCCTCACGCGTTTCGTGGCCCCATTGGGAGCTCAACCGAAAGCGGCACGCACATTGCGTTATTCACAACTACATATGGTTGGGTCCTCCGCCCGGATAATTACCCCGTCTCCCTCTTTCAACCTACTTCTTTCGCTCCGCCGTTTCCCACACCTTTGGGTGCCAATTCTGGCCGGTTTCGGGGGGAGGTTCTCCTGTACAATTTGAGAAGATTGCTCGGCCGTCTTGGACCCCTCTCACGTCGTCTGCTATTTACGCTCCCCTCTTCTTCCTCCACCAAGCCTCCCAAAGTCTACTCGTGGTCATCATATCTTGCCATTTTTTCATAAAAAAACGACTGCGTTCAAGAAACCATACTGCGGCGGCGGTTCAACACACAAAAAACGTGAGGGGCGTTCGCGTGTATGATGTAACATACTGTTGGCATATTGCGGGGTGCCCGTCGCAATGTATGGCGCAACAGATGGCGCAATACAACAAAACTTGGAACATAAGACTCGATAGATTGCGGTGTGCCTGCATGGTACAACAGATCATGGAACGGACGAATCCCTCAACAACTGTCAGGGTCTTCTGACGTGTTGATCAAGCGCGCATAGTAAGGCATCGACCGACTTGGTGGCCTGCGGGGTGTTTGGCGTAACAAGTGGCGCAACTGGTGTAATGTAGACAGACACGGGAAATTGCGACTTGATGACCCATGGGGGGCTGCCGCAATCGATGGCTCGCAACATACACAAAATATCCAGGCGAAAGACCCAACCATGTACAGATGTGAATAACGCAATGTGCGTGCCGCTTTCGGTGGAATCTCTTATATGGCCACGAAACGCGTGAGGGACGTGCCGTAATGGGTGGGGGAGGCGCATGCGGGCGGTGCCACTGGGGCCTTCGGTGGGGCTCCCTGTGACCCACGAAAGGCTGTACTGGGTGTGGCTGACGCATGCGGGCCGTGCCCCTCGCTGGAGCTCCCGATGAGGCCACAACGCGCTGCACCGGTTGGGGAAACGCATGCGGGCGGTGCCGCTGGGGTTTTTCTGTGGAGTTTCCTACCGGGCAACGAAACGCTGTATTAGGTGGTGGCCGACGCATGCGGGCGGTGCCCTTGGGACCTTCGGTGGAGCTCCCTATGGGGCCACGGGAGGGGGTGACACATGCGGGCGGTGCCACTGGGGCCTTCGGTGGAGCTCCCTGTGGGCCCACGAATCGCTGTACTGGTTGGGGGAGACGCAGGCGGGCGGTGCCACTGGGGTCTTCCTGTGGAGGTCCCTACGGGGCCACGAAACGCTGTGCTGGGTGGTGGCCGACGAATGCGGGCGGTGCCACTGGGGGCTTCGGTAGAGCTCCCTATGGGCCCACGAAGCGCTGCACAAGGTAGGGGGTCGCACGCGGGCGGTGCCGCTGGAGCTCCCTACGGAGCCACGAAACGCTGTACCGGGCGGTGCCGCTGGGGCTTGGTGGAGCTCCCAATCAATGGGGCCGCGAAATGGAATACTGGGTGGTGCCTGACGCATTCGGGCGGTGCCACTGACGTTTTTCTGTGGGGCTCCCTACGGGGCCACGAAACGCTGTACTAGCTGGTGGCTGACGCATGCGGGCGGTCCCACTGAGACCATCGGTGGAGCTCCCTACGGGGCCACGAAGCGCTGTACTGGGTGGTGGCTGACGCATGCGGGGGCCCCACTGGGACCTTCGGTGGAACTCCCTACGGGACCACGGAGCGCTGTACTGGGTGGCGGCTGGCGCATGCGGGCGGTGCCAGTGGGGCCCCTGGTGGAGGCTGACGCATGCGGGCGCATGCGGGCGGTGCCACTGGGGCCTTCGGTGGAACTCCCGATGGGGCCAGGAAGCGCTGCACTTGGTAGGTGAATCGCAGGGAGGAAGGGCTGTGATGGGTGGTGGTTGACGCACGCGGGCGGTCCCACTGGGACCTTCGGTAGAACTCCAGGTGGGGCCACGAAGCGCTGTGCAAAGTGGGGCGAAACGCAGGGAGAAAAGGGCTGTGCTGGGTGGTGGTTGACGCATGCGGGCGGTCCCACTGGGACCTTCGGTGGAGCTCCCTATGGGGCCACGAAGCGCTGTGAAGGGTGAGTGAAACGTAAAGACGAGGGGCTGTGCTGGGCGGTGGTTGAAGCAGGCGGGCGGTCCCACTTGGACTTTCGGTGGTGCTCCCCATGGGGCCACGAAGCGCTGCACTATGTGGGTGAAACGCAGGGAGGAAAAGGCTGTGCTGGGTGGTTGTTGACGCATGCGGGCGGTCCCACTGGGACGGACCTTCGGTGGGGCTCCCTATGGGGCCACGAAGCGTTGTACTGGGTGGGTGAAACGCAGGGAGGAAGGGCTGTGCTGGGTGCTGGTTGACGCACGCGGGCGGTCCCAATGGGACCTTCGATGGAGCTCCCTATGGGGCCACGAAGCGCTGTACTGGGTGGGTGAAACGCAGGGAGGAAGGGCTGTGATGGGTGGTGGTTGACGCACGCGGGCGGTCCCACTGGGACCTTCGGTGGAGCTCCCTATGGGGCCACGAAACGCTGTACTGGGTGGGTG